ATTTTCTTGAGCCAAAATGAGAGTACCCGTAAACATTTTTTTTTTTTTAAAGCACTGGCTACACCCTTAACAAATTGTGGTCCACTGAATTCTTGCAAGGGGCCAGTGGGGAGCTATGTATTTTAAATGTGTAGTATATATGTGACCATTATCACAGAAAGTTAAAATGATTACGCAATTATTTGGTATATACACCAATACATATCCACAGCGCTATTTATGAATGGGAGTATCCTTTTTGCCAGAAATTACACAAGGTGGCAACAACAATAAGCTTGTACAATATCACTTGCGATTTATGCATGGCAGTGCCCCTTAGAAAGGGGCGGGAATGGGAGGAACATGAAATGCCTTCATTTATAGGCATTTAAAACATTTATAGGCTGTCTCAAAGACAGCCTTGCCTTTTTCATATCATTTGTAACTGGCTGCTACTCAGACTGCATACTCATCATACATGCACAGCACATTTAAAGCATATGGCAACTGCAGCACCATTAACAAACCACAACTCCCAAGATTCCTAGAGGGAAGTCACGTGTTTTAAACGGAGGAAGCGGACACGGAGCAATGGATCCAAACTACAAGAAAGAAGATTCCACCTAAACATTAGGAAGAACTTCCTGACAGTAAGAGCTGTTCGACAGTGGAATCTGCTGCCAAGGAGTGTGGTGGAGTCTCCTTCTTTGGAGGTCTTTAAGCAGAGGCTTGACAACCATATGTCAGGAGTGCTCTGATGGTGTTTCCTGCTTGGCAGGGGGTTGGACTCGATGGCCCTTGTGGTCTCTTCCAACTCTATGATTCTATGATTCTATGATTCTATGAAATGTACAGTGTCCAGCCTACTACCCTTTTGGTAGAGGGGCAGCTCTAGTTAAGCCCACTTGATTTAATTGTCTTGGGTAGGGCTAAAAGCAGGGACGTGGGTGGCGCTGTGGTCTAAACCACAAAGCCTAGGGCTTGCTGATCAGAAGGTCGGCGGTTTGAATTCACATGACGGGGTGAGCTCCCATCGCTCGGTCCCTGCTCCTGCCAACCTAGCAGTTCGAAAGCACGTCAAAGTGCAAGTAGATAAATAGGTACCGCTCTGGCGGGAAGGTTAATGGTATTTCCATGCGCTGTTCTGGTTTGCCAGAAGTGGCTTTGTCATGCTGGCCACATGACCTGGAAAAACTGTCTGCGGACAAACACTGTCTCCCTCAGCCAGTAAATTGAGATGAATACCGCAACCCCAGAGTCATCCACAACTGGACCTAACCGTCAGGGGTCCCTTTACCTTTACCTAGGGCTAAAAGCAACAATGATGATCATATCTTCCAACATATTCAAGTGGGCAGACAATAAACACACACAGGACTATATCCAATTCACCCCTCCGAGACCCTCCAAGCGTCCCTATTTTCCAGGGACAGTCCCAGATTTACAGAAGCCATCCTGGTTTCTGATTTGATCCTGGAATGCCCTGCTTTTCCTTAGGATGTCCCTGTTTTCATTGGAGAAATGTTGGAGGGTATGAACTCCCACAGACATGCTACAGTGATGGATAATGTTGTCTTTCTCCTTTCCTGCTCTAGCCATGAATGGATGTGGAAACCGGACATTTAAACCTTTCCTATGATAAAATAATTTAACTGAAGGTCATGCAAAATGCAGAGAATCTGCAACACTCTCTCTCTCTCTCTCTCTCTCTAATTGAGAGCTTTGAATGATGCTTCGTCATTCCTGCAGCGACAGGCAAGGAGGTAAAAATAGGAGACCTCACAAATAAAACCTGCTTGTTTGAAGATTTCTGGGCCAAGAAAACAAACTGCTGATAAAGGCCCATGTGGAGAAGGCAAGATAAGTATCCAAATGCTTCTTGGGATGCTCACCTGTGCTGAGCTAAACTCTAATCTTCTGAATGATTCAAGTGCTAATCGGCAAACTTTTGCAACAAGCACTCGTATTTCTAACTTTCAACCCCTGCTACTACACTAGAGCTTGAACATACAGCAGATGTGGGGTTGCTATTTTTTAAAAAAGCTCCATTCCCTTGTCCCGTCCCTCTCCCCTCCAGTGTCTAGGAATACTCAGGGCATAATGTGACACACAGAACATGTCCCCACCCAAGTGTCAGACAATGAAGTCTAGAAGGAGCATAAAACTCACAGCACAATGAAGTCCCATCATGTTTTGAGTCTCTTTAGGCAATATGCAGACTACCAGAGAGAGTCCTGAGCCAATACAGTGGTACCTTGGGTTACATACGCTTCAGGTTACAGACTCCACTAACCCAGAAATAGTACCTCGGGTTAAGAACTTTGCTTCAGGATGAGAAAATTGTGCTCCGGCAGTGCGGCGGCAGCAAGAGGCCCCATTAGCTAAAGTGGTGCTTCAGGTTAAGAACAGTTTCAGGTTAAGAACGGACCTCCGGAACGAATTAAGTACTTAACCCGAGGTACCACTGTACCAAGTTATTTTCAGAATTATAACCTTATTTTTGCTCAGAATTAGAGGAGGCACCCCTTTTCTCTGCCAGTACCTATTTTGTTATCTGGGCAGCCATAGTGTTGTAAACAAAATCTGCCCTTTTTCCCTTATGGGGTATCCAAGAGCCTGTATAGAGCCCTTACGTGGGTTCCCTATTGGTAGGAGAAAATAACAGAGGCCAACCAGAGAATATTGAGAAGCAAAGCAGCTAGTAAGCCTGATCTTTATTGATCTGTTGTAACAGGGTGCTCCCCTCACACGCAGGAAAGGAGGAGGACCTCGAACAATGGCGCGCAAGGCCTTATATAGACATTTTAAATTCACTGCCCTGGAGCTCAAGACCACCCCTCCATACATCATACATACATCACAGAAAAGGTATTGTTGTTTTTCCTGTCTGCCAGGTTATCTGATAATGCCTTATGTGATTGCCTTTCCTGGTAGTCTGTCACCCTTTGAGATGGTGATTTCCCAATTCCTGAGACAATGGGAAGGTTTCCTGACCCCCTCCCTCCTTGCAGAGAAAACACTTGGTCAGTTTGGGAGTCAAAATGGTTTCAGGTCAGTCTTCCTGTGCTGATCTATGTACGTGCTTGGTTGGTACATTTATGAACATTTATTATAAGACCTTATAAGACTTTAAATAGCAATCATGTTTCTGATTTCCAAAGAATCTTGATATCCCCATACAAACTTTCAAAGGCTTCAGAGAGCAAGTATTGCATGTCGAGGTCCTCCAATCCACCTCCAAATGATTCACACTTCACACATAACTTTGTTTAAGGTTTTTGGCATAATTTTGGCCACAACTTTATTAAAATACATAAATGTGAGTGGTTGCTTAGGTATTGGTTATGACTATCTGTGCCCACGCCTAGGGACAGAACTGACTTCCAGATTCCAGTGAAAGCCAGTACGGGAATACAATATTAGGGAGAGCATGGAGCCAAGCACCAGACCCTCACCCCCTCCCATGCTCCTTGGGGCTTGCACGGCCCTAAACCCCCTTCAGGGGTACGGACGAAAGAATGGCAAGCCCCTGGATTCCTTTAACGGAATTCCCTTTCCGCAGCAGCATTGGAGGGGCAGCCACCGCCAATCCTTACCCCTCCACCAACCAATTTTTTAACCAATGCCTAACCGCAACCTTACAAGTTGTGAGAATTTGCTACACAGTAGGCAAAAACCAAATGGCACCAGCCAATCAGCCAAATGGACAAAATTCCTACCAGGCCCTTGCCCCAAAAGCAGGCGATCCCATGACATAGCAAGGTCAACCAAGATTCTTAAAATTAGGGAGGGTGGTTGGGTGATCCAATGCACACAGCAAAAGTGCCTAGTCAGTGCTGTGTGACTTGATTTTATAACCTTTGGTCCATCCCCCTAAATGGCAACCCCAAAATTTGCCCAACAACCCAACCACCCAATCACTGTGGATGGTCATCCAAACTAACCCGCCCAGCAACAGAGGGGTGGCCTTCCAGACCCCACCGCAACACGTGCTCTCTATGAAGGAGAACACACTTTGTCCTCGCTCCGATTTGGCTGTGTTATCTTGTGGCATTCTCTTAAAGCCAGATCAGAGTGAGGGCAATGCGTCCTGCCCTCACTCTAGAGTCTTAATGGTGCGGGGTGAGATTCCCACCAGCAATCAGGAGCACAACCACCACTGCATGTGCATGCGCATGCGCTCACACACAGACAGAGATGGGGAGGAAAAACATGCTTCTGTTATTCTTCAGTAACATTACCAGGAACAAATTTCCAACTTCCAGTGGCTACTAGATACCTGCCTTTCTCTAACAGCAAAAAGGTGCATATGAAATCGAATCACCTATTTCCGTTTTTCCCGTTAAAGAAGAAACATTATTTTTAAACGAAAGAGAAACTCCTTAATGTCAGGCAATCCTAAATTACTAGAAATTTCTCAGGCACATTAACTGCTCTGCTGAGCAAACTCTTCATTATCATGATGGGCTTTGCAGCCTGTTGGTAGCAAGCGCTGGTACAGAGAACTCTCCCAGCCAGCTGGTTGTCATAACTGAATTACAGAACAAAACCTTTCTGGGAGGGAGGAAATGGGAAGAGTTATTCATGCTGAAAATGAAGGCAAAATTAACCGTACAGAAATATGTAGAAATTATGATCCATGCAGCAATAGCTTTAATATATTTACTCAGAAGTAAGTCTCACTGAGTTCAATGGGGCTTACTTACTAATATGTGTATTTAGGTTTGCCGTCTGGATGGAACAATGCAAGTGTTTTGTTTAAGTCCTTTCTTTGGAGGCCACAATACTAGGAACACTTACTCAGAAGTAAACCTTGCTGAATTGGGGGGGGGGGATAGGTGCCACTGCCAGAGTGTATGGTTTCCCTGAGTGCTTGGGCCCCACCAGCTGCCCAAATCCTGGGCCAGGCCTGTCAACTTAACTTCTGGAATAAAATGCTTAGAATTGGGGTGAAAAACTCATAGAGCTGTAGAGCTGGAAGTCACAATGAGGGTCATCTAATCAAAACCCCTGCAAGGCAGGGCTCAAGAAGGAGCTCAAACCCAGAACCCTGAGATTAAAAGTCTCATGCACTACCAACTGAGCTCTATTTTAGCTCAAATAATTTAAACTGGATCATATTCATTGAAATAATTACAATTAAGGTGACAGTAATCAAGTCTGGATTGCGTGTCGAGGTCCCCAGGGCCACCCCAATAACTCACACATCACACAGGAATTTTTGTTTAAGGTTTTTGGCATAATTTTGGCCACAGCTTTATTAAAATACAAAAATGTGAGTGGTTGCTTAGGCACTGGTTGCGACTATCTGCCCCTCCATGGGGGACAGACTGACATTCCGCACGCCTGCGAAAGTCAGAAAAAGGAAAAAGTCAGAAAAAGAAAAAGTTGGGGGAAGCAACGGAGCAGGGAACCTGGCCTCAGCCCTCCCCAAATGCAACCAGGGGCTTTTGCATGGCCCGAGCCCCTTGCTAGGGTGGACAAAAGCAATAGTGAGCCCCTGTATTCCTTTAACGGAATCCCTTGCAGCAGCAGCATTAGAGAGGCAGGCAGAGCCATTCCATGCCCCTCAACCAACCAAACCATAAACCAATTCCTAATCGCAATCTTACAAGTTGTGACGATTTGCTACGCAGTAGGCGAAAACCAAATGGCCCCAGTCAATCAGCCAGATGGACAAAATTCCTACCAGGCTCCTGTCCCAAGAGCAGACGACCCCATGACAGGCATAGCAAGGTTAAAGCGAACAACCCTAATTCTAGAGAGGGGGGACGGGCAATCCGATGCACGGGCGAAAAGAGGAAGTTCTAGCCTCATGCAAGGAGTTTTAGCATTTCTGGCTGTCAATCAACAAATGGCAACATTAACTTATTCCCAACGACAAGGGAAGCCCAATTGCATCAGTGGCCAACGATCAATTAGCCCGCCCCACAACTTTGGAGTGTCCTGTCGGCCCCCACCGCAACACATGCTCTCCATGAAGGAGAACATGCTTTCTGCCACAGGAGCAAGCAGCCTGAGGAATAGCAGGCAATGCTTTGATCTGTGAGCCGTACCATGTTCTGGCCAGGTGAGGGAGGTGTGTATGACCAGGCAGGAGAGCAAAGAAGCTCTTTTAACTTCAAGGGATGTGGGCTGGCCACTTTAATAAAACCTCCAGGGATAGACTTGCTCTCTGGTCAAAGCCATCTGCAACCCTCAAGGAAGGGAGTTACACAGACGTTATGGCACAACTCTTAAAAGACAGGGTCAGTTGACCTCCATTTTGTCCCCACACTCCCATTTTGTGTCTCCCTGCCTATAACTGTTTACTAGTGAAGGAACGGACTGGCTCTCATCAGCCTTTGGAAAAGTGTATCCCTGATGCTGTGATCTAAGCAACTCCTGGATGTGCCAAGCCACATCTCCCAATCTTACATTTACAGACCCTCCAAGTGTACCTATTTTTCTGGGAGAGTACTGGATTTACAGAAGAAGTCCCGGTTTCTGATTTGATCCAGGAATGAGCTGCTTTTTCTTAAAGGTAAAGGTAAAGGACCCCTGACAGTTAAGTCCAGTCACAGACGACTCTGGGGTTGCAGCGATCATCTCGCTTTACAGGCCAAGGGAGCAGGTGTTTGTCCGCAGACAATTTTTCCGGGTCATGACTAAGCCACTTCTGGCGCAATGGAACACCAAAACGCCGTTTACCTTCCCACCAGAGTGGTACCTATTTATCTACTTGCACTTTTTGGGGTGCCATTGAACTGCTAGGTTGGCAGGAGCTGGGACTGAGCAAGGGGAGCTCACCCCATCGCGGGGATTCGAACCTCTGACATTCTGATTGGCAAGCCCAAGAGGCTCAGTGGTTTAGACACAGCGCCACCTGCGTCTTTCTTAGGATGTCCCTATTTTCATCAGAGAAATGTTGGAGGGTATGGAGTTATCCGACCCCTGAGCCATCTGAAGGCAGCCCTGTATAGGGAAGGGTTTTTTAAAAAAATGATTAATGTTTTCTTATAGTTTTATGTATGTTGGAAGCTGCCCAGAGTGGCTGGGGTAACCCAGTCAGATGGGTGTGGTATACATAGTAAACATATATTAATATTATTACTATTATTATATAAGACATCCCTTTTTTCATAGGTGTTGGAAGGTATGTGCTCCCCTACCCTGCTAAGTAACAGCCACAATGAACAGATCATAGCCAACTGACAGGTGTTAATATAAGAATGAAAATGATACAATTAACAATGGGATGAAGCATGCACATGGCCTTTCAGTTGAACCCTTCCCTTAAATTTATTTGTATTTTTAACACATATACTTCTCTGAAAAATTGTTGTTAGCCAGAGTAAGTTTATCAGGAAGACTGTGACATTTCTTAAATGACAGGTACACGTACACACACACACACACACACACAGCACAAACCCCCAACACCCTCTTTCATCTTCCCTGGCATTTGGAGCATTCATTTAAAAACAAACCACCTCAGTCTCCATCTGGGTTGAAGCCAAGCTGTTGCAGCCAAGAATAAAAATGTCATCTCTAAAAATTTAGAGTCCTCCTGTACCTACGGAAGAAGAAAAAATTATACCAGCTGTTTTTTTCACAGTTTGTAGTTCCTGACCTTACACAGTAACTTACAGGTGCTGACATGCATCGGTGCTATTGAAAACAGACCACTTCTCAATATCCCCAGAAGAAATACCTCTTCTCTATTAGCCAACATCCATTTTCATTGTGCACTGTATGCCAATAATGATCTTAAAGGTAAAGGGACCCCTGACCGTTAGGTCCAGTCGCGGACGACTCTAGGGTTGCGGCGCTCATCTCGCTTTATTGGCCGAGGGAGCCGATGTACAGCTTCCGGGTCATGTGGCCAGCATGACTAAGCCACTTCTGGCAAACCACAGCAGTGCACGGAAACGTCATTTACCTTCCCGCCGGAGCAATACCTATTTATCTACTTGCACTTTGATGTGCTTTCGAACTGCTAGGTTGGCAGGAGCAGGGACCGAGCAAGGGGAGCTCACTCCGTTGCAGGGATTCGAACTGCCCACCTTCTGATCAGCAAGCCCTAGGTTCTGTGGTTTAGACCACAGCACCACCCTTGTCCCTAATAATGATCTTACTACTATTTAAAACCAGTGGGGCAGGCAATGCAAAGTCTGTATGCTGTAAGGCATGGGTAGGCAAACTAAGGCCTGGGGGCTAGATCCAGCCCAATCGCCTTCTATATCCAGCCCACAGACAGTCCAGAAATCAGTGTGTTTTTACATGAGCAGAATGCGTCCTTTTATTTAAAATGCATCTCTAGGAATTCGTTCATTTCCCCCCCAAAATATAGTCCAGCCCCCCCCCCCCCACAAGGTCTGCGGGACAGTGGACCGGCCCCCTGCTGAAAAAGTTTGCTGACCCCTGCTGTAAGGAGACTACGCTGCTGGAAAGACTGTATCTTCAACTTTATACAGTCGTAGCTCAGATCCCGAACACCTTGCGAGTCGAACGTTTTGGCTCCCAAACTGAGTGTTCCGGTTTCTGAATGTTCTTTGGAACATGAATGTCCGACGCGGCTTCTACACTTTCCAATTGGCTGCAGGAACTTCCTGCAGCCAATCGGAAGCCACACCTTAGTTTCCAAATGTTTTGGAAGTCAAACGGGCTTCCGGAACGGACTGTTCGACTTCCAAGGTGCGACCGTATAATTGAAACTGCATTATACCATCAGGAAAGCAACTGACTCTTTCCAGAACTGTCTGGTGTTTCTCTGTTCCTTTGGCACGCTCTGCTGGCAAGAGAATGGGCCCTCTACACATGCCCCAACAAAAGGAAGGATCCTCAATAATTGGGGAGATCCAGGTTCCAGTCACATTGGACAGCCACAGTCTCTCCATCTAAGCAATCTCCTGGGGTCGCTATGAGGATAAAGGGAGAAACTAGTGCATCCTTAGAGAAATTATATGGTGGGTGGAACAGGGCACAGAGGCTATACTGCAAGTTCTGACTATGCCTGTCTGTGTGTTTCTATCTGTCTTCTGCCTCAGCTAGCACTGTGCAAAAGAGGTTGAAGGTAATCAATCAGATGTCTCAGCTGTACATCTTTCCATTCTCTTTTTTCAGAACATCAGCTGCCTTGCTTGCCGACACATGTTTTAAAACTGATTAAATAATGACAGAAGGTTTGCAACAGTGTTAATAAATAAATGACTAATTCAATTTGTAGCTACTCTTGTGGGGAATCACACAATTCATTATTTGTTAGCTTCTTCTTTTTTTGCAACTGTCAGCTTTCGGGAAAAGATTCGAAAATCCCAAAGGTTTCTTTGAAATCACACCACATGTCTATTTTGGAGATTTAGGATTCTTTACTCACTTCCCTCCCTCTTTAACAGGATGCTTCTAGTGCCTGGCCTGAAACTGGAGAGGGCAAGGTGGAAAAAAACAATTAACACTGCACTATGAAATCTGCAAATAAGGAGGAAAAATCCTGCAAAATATTGTAAGGGAAATACCTTCAGGTTGCGGGGGTGGAAAGATATATAAAGACTATTGGGAGCATTCCCTTGAGTAACAAATACATTTGACAATATATCTAATAGTCTTCATAACAGTAGACTTGAAGATGGAAAATACATTGACGCTCAATTTCATTTTATGATCCCTATTTTCCCTTTCCCGTTCTTTTCAATATCCTATCACAGATTTTTCCAGGTATCTTTTCCAAAATATATTTATGTTTAATTTCATTTTATGATCCTTAGGCTACTTCCCTTTTTGCCATTGTTTTCAGTACCCTAGCACAGATTTTTTTTTTTTTTTTAGATCTCTACCTTTTATTTTTTCAGACAAAAGAAACCATTACAAGGAATTACAATTGCTTGCATTTGTATCATTACCTGTCTAAGATTCGGGATAGCTGAACTATTCTATTGGTCCCTTTTTATATTTTCATTGGAAAGTAATTATACACCCAGAGTTCAATATCATTGGACTATTAAAACTATTATCCTACATCAGAACAGAGCCTGAAATGCTTTCTAAATTGCAATCCTAACAAAGTTAATTGGGAAAGTCCTCTTACAGGGCAATCTTCATAGAACATTAATTACTC